GAACTTACAACGTTTAAAGCTGTTTCCTATGGGCTAAATTCTACAGTAGAGACATAGTATAAAGACTTTATACTATGGTAGAGAGTAAGGAACGAATTAACTACTATTAAACAGGTACTATTGGCCAACTCTCTCTGCCTCTTTGGCCGAGTGGTCACAAGTACGACTGTCGGGCAAGGGGTCTCGGGTTCGATTCCCGGGTCGGGCAAAGAATTACTGGGTTTTAAAAAAATTCTCAGTAGTAGCACGGAGTCTGGAATTGTGCCCGGTATATAGCAATAGGCTCACCCCCTATCACAGGGGACTCATAACATAAATAGTGAAAAGTGGGTGTTACATTGTACAGTGGCATAATGTGCACCTCTGCCTACCCCTTCGGGGATAAAAGGCGTGATGCGAAATGTTATGTATTGGCCAACTCAAATATAACCTTAGTGTATTTTATCCAGATATTCCCGTTAACTATATCAATATTTTAAAACAAACAAACATATATAGCATATAGCTACCTTGTTCAAATAAAAATAAACAAAACAAAATATGAATTATCAAATTTGATCAAGTAGTTCTAGAGATATGCGCCAACATATATACATTTTAATGATTAATATTTTTATCTTTGTTGTCTACAGGGTACAGTCGCTACAATGCGTGCCTGTTCATCCTGTGTGCCAGTATCATTGTGGGAATGACGTTCGAGATCTTCTCCGTGTCCTACATAGTGCCAGCCAGTGTATGTGAGCTGCACACCACCAGCACAGAACAGGGACTTATGGCCAGTGTACCTTTGATTGGTTAGTTTTACTAATATTAATGGAATTTTATTCCGTACTATTTTGAGCTCTGATATAGAGGTAAGCTTAGGCCACACTGCGTTTTTTCACGACAACCTAAACCAATTTATCTTTTACGTAAAGATTTTCTTGCATTTCATCTTTTTAAATCAGTCGTGGTATATAATCGCAAGTGTTTGTAGTCGTTACGTTTTGATTTGCCAAACTCGTCAACAGCCTATAAATGCCCATTGCTGAGCAAAGCCTCTTCTCACACGAGAAGGTTTGAGCATTAATCACCACGCTTGCTCAATGCGGGTTGGCTTTCAAACGCGTTTGGATTTCAAACTTATAATATGAATTTTAAGCCCAGGTTTCCTCACGATGTTTTCCTTCACCGTTTGTCAGTGGTGTCTGAATAATCTTAGAAAGTACATATAACTCGAGAAATGTCACATTGGTACTTGCCGTTGGTAAGTTTCGAACCCGCACACTCATGCATGAGAAGTGGGCGTCTTAAGCCTCTGAGCCACCACGACACAAACTCACGCATTTGAAAAAACATGTGGTTCAACCGTAGTGCAGCTAGGCCTTACAAAGACATTTTAGTTTTTATTGACAAGCACCATTTTATTCCAGGGATCATAACCACATCTCACATTTGGGGCTACCTGGCGGACACGAGAGGTCGCCGGAAGGTGCTCATCATCTCCATGACCATGACATACCTCGCTGGTACAGCAGCCACGCTGTCACCCAACTGGATTGTGCTGAGTCTACTCAAGCTGCTCTCTTCTAGCTCGTTAGTATCTTAATTAACGTTTAATTCTAAATTTTTAATAAATTACAATGCCAGACAGCTATCATTGCGCTAGCTTCACATTTAACGCCATGGGGGTCATCAGTGATCGATGTTAGCACAGGATTTGCGTTCAACACTTTTTTATTGGCAGTCAAAACCCTTAAAGACCACGGCCATCAGTAGCTCAGTTTCTGTCAAGCTCGCTAACACGTACGGCCGAAACCATAGAACATATAACTTTATATGTTTTGTAGCCGAAACTAAAGGGTATAGAAAATCACCATTGATCTGGAACCACGCCACTAAGAACGGATTATCAAAGATACAAGAAATATAATGGATTCCTATGTCTGATTTGTAGAGATCGTCGAATCTCAAAATTTCATTTTCAAATAAATGTACCTATACTTAATTATAATATTTGCACAATAAATCGTAAATAAATCTCATTTTCACAGAGTATCGGGGTCTATGGCCTTATCAATGACTTTACTGAGCGAGTGTACGCCTTCTGAGAAACGAAGTGGCCTAGTGTTGCTGAGCACCAGTGCTTACCTCATATCTATTGGAGTTATGGCAGGTATTACCATTACTTCTTGAACATTCTAGCAGAATGCATGTAGCCTTCAATAGTTTTCATGTGATATAATGATTTTACGGTGTTAAAAATCTGTGTGAACACCAAAATATAGGTTAGGACATACTCTAAAATAGCAATCTGAAAGCAGTCTATCGAGCATTCTCAAAAATCTTCAAAATTGGAATGTCTGTCGATTCACCAGCACGCTTGAAACGAGCATTCTAGTTTTGACACACATGCTACTAAGTGAAAAGTACTCAATTGAAGCATGCTTTTGTGTTTGAAATTAGCAATGCTTTTAACACTGTCGACTTCGATATACTTCTTGGGATACTCGGTTCTCATGGCATATCGCCAGCTGTAATTGAATGGTTTCGTAGTTACCTGTCTGGCCGCCGGCAGCGTGTCTGCATTGAAGGTTCACTCTCGTCATGGTCTGATGCAACTGCCGGCGTACCGCAGGGGGGCGTCCTTTCTCCATTACTCTTCGCAATCTTTATAAACTCTATCTCCAACGAACTTCTTTCATCCTACCATTTGTATGCTGACGATCTACAGATTTACTCACAAGCGCCTCCTCATGAGTTCTCTGAAGCCGTGACGATGGTGAACAGGGACCTAGTACGGATTTCCAACTGGAGTAAGGCTCATGGGCTTAACATCAATCCTGCGAAGACGCAGGTCATTGTTGTCGGTACCCCGCGATTGCGCTCAAAGATAGTCTGGTCATATATTTCACCGATTGTCTTTGATGGTACGAGAATCCCGTACAGTGACACTGTGAAGGATCTAGGGATCCTGATAGACAAAGACTTTTCCTGGGGGCCACAGCTGCGAGAAGTCAGCCGCAAAATATTTGCGTCAGCAGGATCTTTACGCAGGCTCCGGAACTTTCTGCCAACTGCAACCAAAATTGCGCTCGCTCGATCACTTCTGCTCCCTCTCCTTGACTACGCCGATGCCAGCTATCTAGATCTTACCGAGGAGCAGTTAGATAAGCTTGAGAGACTCCAAAATTTCAGCATCAGGTTCATATTTGGTTTGCGCAAGTATGACCACGTTACCGAATATCGCAATATACTCAAGTGGCTGCCAATCCGCCTTCGCCGGAATACTCATATCTTGTCCCTACTTTACAATATACTGTTCAATCCGTTTGCCCCCTCTTACCTCAAAGAACGTTTCAAGTTCCTAAATGACGCACATTCGAGATCACTGAGGTCGTCAGCGAATCTGAGATTGGAGATGGCCCAGCATTCTTCAAAATTCTACAGCAAGTCATTCACTGTGCAAGCTGTTAGGTTGTGGAATGCACTGCCAGTGTCGATAAGACAAGCTAAGTCGTTGGCTGCGTTTAAGGGCCAAGTTAAGAAGAACTACCTCTCTTCTCTATAATGTCATCATCAAACTGTTTCCTTTTAAGTGGTCCATAATAATGGTATATTTAAGTGTAAGTAGGTATGTAATCATGTATATATGTATGTTTGTGTGTATGTATGTGTATATGTATGTATGTATGTATGTATGTGTATATGTATGCATGTTTATGTGTATGTATATGTACATGTATGTATATATTATTACTACGTTATTTATTTATTGTTTTTTTTAGTACACAACCCGTATAAATATTTCTTTTCATTATATCCACCCAAAGGTTGTCTGGTAGAAATCACTATAAGTGATAAGACCGCCTTTGTGCCCATTATTATTTTATTTATATTTGTCATTTCCTTTTCTGTATGTACTGTATTATTAATGGTGTACAATAAAGTTATATTGTATTGTATTGTATTGTAAGGTACTAAACCTTATGGAAGTTTGTAAATGGAAACAACTTACGACAAAGTTTTTAAAGCTAAAAGATAGTTAAAAATGATACCTGCCAGCAACCTTTGGGTGGATGTTGACTGGTAACCTCTTTTTTCCTTCTGTGTCGTGGGTGCGTTTATAAACATACAAGTTCACATACACAATGACACTCAGACCCGGAACAACTATTTGTGGATCACATAAACAGCTGCTCCGTGGGGGAAACGAACAACGCCCAGCCACCGCGTCAAGAGTGCCGTCAAATTTTTATCCCAAGTTTTTAATTTATTTTTTTTATTTATTTATTTATTAACACTTCTGTATAGCAAACATACGATGGCGGACTTAATGCCGGGTGGCATTCTCTAACAGTCAACCATGGGGTGATGCAGAGATGTGCAACAGTAGGCGTATAGGTATAATGGTTTATGTGACACAGAAAAATCTATATAAATAAATTCATGATTATACATAACTGTAAATACATACATATATCCGTATAATATATAGGTATAATATAAATTACATAAGATACATTATCAATATTACTAGATAACAATACTATAAAAGTAAATAAATAAATTGGGAATAAAACTACATATAATATATATTTATATACATATATATTAATTTATCATTATATTTTCTTTGTTCGCTCTTAGGTCTTGAATAAAATGATTACTGATGATGTTTACTGAAGATTTATTTTGGGTGTGATTTTATCCTACGTAAAACATAACAGTCTATTTATGATTATAACTATTGAATAGCACCGAAAACTTCACTTCACTCCACTAAGCCACTGACAATGAAAGACAAAGCCTAAACTGTATTTTGTCCTTCCAGTGATTGCAATACCAGTTCTGCCACTGACCTTCTCTTTCTACATCCCTATACTGGACATCTACTTCAACTCCTGGAGGCTGCTGAACCTTGTGCGCTGTGTGCTATTGGCTGCCTCTTTGCAAATGAGAGTCCTAAATACCTGGTCAGTGTTGGAAGAGAAGAAGATGCCTTGCAGGTCCTCAAGCGGATGTATGTTATTAATACTGGAAAGAGTGCTGATACATATACAGTAAGTAGAAAGTTGTCTTACCAATATTATAAAGTTTGTTAGTTTGTTCCTTCTTTACGTCAAATCGGCTGAAGGGATCCAGATGTAATTTGGAGATTATGTTCTGGAATAATATGTAAATCACTTTTTGTGTCACGGGAACGCGAGAAGCTCATCATCATCAACAGCTTATAAATGCTCACTGCTGAGCATTCAAAGCCTCTTCTCACATGGAGAAGGTTAGAGTATTAATCACCACGTTTTCTCAATGCGGGTTGGCGATTTCAAACTTATTATTAGTAATTGTAAGCCCAGGTTTCCTCACGATGTTTTCCTTCACCGTTGGTCAGTGGTATCTAAATAATCTTAGAAGGTACATATAACTCGGAAAAAGACACATTGGAACCCGCACCCTCGTGCATGAGAAGCAGGCTTCTTCAACCTACGGGCTACCACGACGCCACAGCATACCATAGCTGTCAGAAGCTAGTATACCTAATATATTTTATTACTACAACAATTACCGATTCGGGCACAATGCTCAGCTAGTTTCAATTAGAGGTTTATAACATAAATTTTTCTAAAACATATTTAACAATACATGCCTTTTTTCTTTACTCCGAAAACGTGGTCAATAGTATCTACTCACATAAAGAGTACATGTTTGACAAATTAAAAAAAAAAAAATTTCCTGGACAATAAACCGTAGAGCAATTGGTTGTCAATAAACTTAAATAAAAAGTAGGTAATGATTTTATTTAATCACTGATTCTTTCAATTCAAGAAATACTATTATAATTATCTACCTACTACATTTTTAAGAAATTTCCTTTTCAAAAACCTTGGAGTTTGCCACTTCTGTGGAGTTTACCATGAACTCATCCATTTTTTCTGACTGATATAATTATCTGCGAAGACGTGCCAAGTTATTTATTTATTCGCAAACCCTTGGTATTTTTTTACCTTTTTTAAACGTTATTATAAGAAATTAATCTTACGCCTGTATTTTCCTTTAAAAGGAAAAAAAGTGATTGATAATTTTCCTAAGACTACCGATGTTTTCAAGACGTGCAAACAAAAAATATAATCTGGTATGAGCTGCAAGAGCGAAACATCATACCTTCACCGTCCCTTGGGTTAAAATTGTGAGTTGACGTATTTTAATTTTAAAATACGTCAACTCACAATTTTGACCAGTATTTGACCTAAGTGAGGAATCAAGATTAGAAAATTAGAAAATCCCAAATCTTTCAGTTTCAGTTTTTCCTTTAAGGGAGGAAAATCATCGAATGACTTGGAATTGCTATGATTCTTACATACCTCTTCCGCTTCCTCAACAGTCATCAGTCCTTTCATGCATGGTCTTCGGTTAAGGGTACCTACTTTTAATTTGGTCCTTCTTTAATATATTGCCAATCTGGTCGATAAATACAAGGTGTAGATTTGAAACCGTGGCATTTCTCGGGGACATGTCACAGATGTCATAAAGGTTCAATGTAAAAGAAAATTTCAGGCCAATAGTTAAAAATACGGCTATAATAAATAGTTTAAGTTCAACAGTAATTCAAAATAAGCGACAGCAATGTTTCTTATTGGAGTATTATGGAATTAGGAATAATATCAATTACGTGTTTGAGTTTGTGTGTGTTAAGCCGCGTTATAAAGCTAGTTACAAGACTAGTAACTAGGCGGAGTGTAGTTTGCACTTACGGATTTCCGTAATTTACAGAAAAATGAAAAATACTTACCTACAATTTTTTTTATTGATTCGGACTCAGAATCGGTAGCCTAGTTACCTCCTAGAAAATGACGCGGCTTTAAAACAACACCTTGTATATGTCTAGGGCCCCTCTACCGACGTTCCCATTCATATTCACCCTGTAAATAATACTTCTTTTGTAAACCAGCATTCATCCATCCTTTTTGTATTCTAGATTAGTTCCTCTGAAATATTGGCCTAATGCAGAATAATTGACATCGCTATACCGAATTTAATCAACAATATGTGGATAAACAATATTCTCTAATTAATTTGTTTGTTTTTTATAGGTGTCTGCTTTAGAATTGGAAGAAGGCCAGGCGTCAACGTTTACCAAGGGATTCTGGGGATCAGTCGCAGCACAGACCATTCCTATGGTAAAACCACCACTACTGAAGAACACATTACTTCTATCTTTCCTATACGTCATTTCTTATATTACGTAAGTATTTTTAAACCAATAATAAAAACTTAGTTATAAGTTTGACGTCTATGTATTTGTATGTCTGTGTTGCTTCTAAATGGATTAACTTTTTTTATGGGATAAGCCGGTAATCAGACGAATCACCTGATGGTAAGCAATTGGCGTCACCCATGGACACTTGGAACACTAGAGGCGGCCTTTTGGGAATTAGGAATTCGAGGATTGTTAGGGATTCAGGGATTGGGGTGATTGGAGGTTATGGGGGGATAATTGGGCCACCGATAACCTTACTCACTCGATGAAACACAACGCAAGCGTTGTTTCACGTCGGTCTTCTGTGAACTGTGAGGCCTTGGTATCACTCCGGTCAATCCGGCCCATTCGTGCCGATTCGTGCCCATTCGTGGCTCTCCCACACTTAAAACTGATTTTGATACAGTTTCTTTTGTTTGAAAGGAGACTTAATTCTTCTATCCTTGGCTATTCATTATTCAGAAAAATCTGTTGCTTCTTTTTGCTGGTTGATGATTTATATGTGTGTGTTTATTGATGATAATGATGTTTATATTTATTTCCAGAATGAACGCATTCTTCGTGTGGTTACCTTACATAGTGAATGCATTTATGACGTCAGTGGTGGCTGGGGAGAGACACCTGACCATCTGTGAGATGATCAGACTTTCTGCAAACTCTTCAACAGTTCAAGAGGTAATTGTATTTATAACGGTTTGTCTGTTTGTTTAACTAACCGTGTTTCAAAAAGTGGGTAGGTTCTTAAATCGACGATCTCCGGCCATCGTAAGCACGGGCTTGCGGGCGGCGAGCACGGGTGACTTGCCGCTCGATCAGAACCAGACCAGAGCGTACGGCGTGTCGCGATCCGCGCGCGCCTCAAGGAGCCATCAAACACCACGACACCTCACGCGATGGTGCCAGTGCCATAGTGTATCCTTTCTTTAAAGTTCTAGTTTCGATAGTTTATTTGCTCAGTTGAATCTGACTTTAATATATTCCCAAAAATGATAGGATATTTTGTTAATTCTTACCCTGTTTCTCGTCGACTTCGTAATTGCTATACGCAATATTAACCAATTTCATTTTCTACTTCCAGACTAACGACTGTTCCATGAACAGCCAAGCAATGACCCTGGTGTTCGGGATAGTGATGGTGCTCGGAGTCTGCAATATCTTCACCAGCGCTATCACCAACTGCATCGGGAGGAAGACACTCTTTGTTTGCATGCAGGTGAACATAAATTCAAAAATTTTTAAGAAGGCCAAAAGATCGTTCATAGGGCTATAAAAGCTGTAAAAATATGGGAATTCTTTATTAGTTCGATTCCCGGGTCGGGAGTAATATTACCGGGATTTAAAAAATTGTCAGTAGTAGCACGGAGTCTGAAATTGTGCCCGGTAGGCTCACCCTCTATTGCATGGGACTCATAACAAAAATAGTGAAAAGTGGGTGTTACATCGTACAGTGGCATTAAGTGCCGTAATGTGCACCTCTACCTACCTCTCCGGGGACGTGGATAAAAGGCGTGATGTTATGTTATCAAGTTAAAACTAGCTAACAGTTTGATTTGTTATCAGGTCATAGGAGGATCAGCAGCGTTGTTTATCAACTTCAGCCCCTTCTGGGTTTTGAGCGCCATACTGTTCATGGTCTTCCTGTCTGCAGTCTTCGCTTTTGGTCTTCTAACTTCCTTCTGCGTCGACGTCTTTCCTACTTATGTCAGGTACGATATAATAATGTTTATTTTATTTTATTTAAAACGCTCCATACACTATCGAATGATTAATGATTAATACTCAAACCTTGTCCGTGTGAGAAGAGGCTTTGCTCAGTAGTGGGCCCTTATAGGCTGTTGATGATGATGATGATGATGATGCACAATCGTACACAAGGTGGCCACACATATACACAATTAATGCCGTGTGCATTATCTTACCAGTCTGACCTGTCCAGTCTTATGCAGAGAAAAGTAGGTATACGGTGGGGGGCAAGAAGCTACAGTAAATGTTTAATAGTTTAATAAAAAATATATTATCTTAATTATATATATTAGACTTTTCGATCAGTTGAGTTTATTCTTCTCGAAATTCTCAAAAACGCCTAATAAGGGATTGGGGGTCATTTGACAAAGATTCAGCAGCAATGTCGTTTTGTAAACCTGAATATTTAACTTAAAACCGAACCAAGGAGCATTAGTCAACGCTGCCAGGTTTCTGTCAAAATGTGTTGTCTCTTTTTTGGCTCCGTCGTAAGAGAAGGTGTAATAATTACCAATGTATTCTACGATACCTTTACTGCATTGTGAATGTTCAATACTTCTTTCTATGTTTAACAGAGCCATGGCAGTGTGTCTTACATTGATGGTGGGTCGAGGCAGCGCTGTCGTTGGTATTAATGTTTTAAAGAAACTGCTAGACACTGACTGCGAAGCTGCGTTCTATATTTTTGGAGCTGTAGCTGTTGGTAAGTAACTTGCTTTACAACATAGAAATATGTATAATACACGTCATGTAGCTGTAGCAATAGTATTGTCTCAGCTATTAAAGGTTTTAAAGTAAAGCTATTAAGGTATTTGATCGTTTGACTGTTGTTGTTTGTTGATTGTGTGACCTACCAATTTCTCTAGTCTAAATCTCTCCCAGATGAGGAAAGTACCATTCCAAAAGGTGGTTTTGATGTGGGTATCCATTTTGTGGGTTATGTTAAGCTATCTGTGTTATGAGTGCCTTGTGCTAAAACACGCAATTTAGACAAACATTATCCAATTTAGAGACCTTCGTATTACGGATGCTTTCAAGCTAGATTATAAGGAAACATCTGTTGAGTGACTGGCAGAGATTACGTACCTTAATTACAAGATTGATTCCATTTACTACTGGAACTGTATACATGATTTTCTGGTCCTCAAGGTTATTTTCTTTTTCAATCTCTTTGACTACATTTAGGTGTTGCATTGTTCTCACACAATCGAACCAACAAAACTATGTAACTAGATAATTGTATTGTAAACCCGATTCAAAAAGAGTAACCTATGGAGTTTCTTGCTCGTACTTCTCCATAGGGATCTACACCTTGGAATGAGCAATAAGCTTCAAGTTGTTGACGATCAAAAGTGCCTTCCTGGTCTAATATTAGGTCTGGAAATAAATGATTTTGACTTTGACTTTGAGGTACTCCAGGCGCACTATTAAAGAGTCCGAATTACTTGCAACAGCTATGACCAACCGTCTGACTGTAAGGTGATTCATGAAAAATATTACTTTATTAAGTTTTCATTCATTTTTGTTACAGGTGGAGGTTTGGTGGGTCTACTTCTACCCTCGGATGCGAAAATAATGGCACAGAAAAAAGCATTAAACCGGAACCCTTGAACATGTAAAGTAAACGATAAAAACTGAGTATTTTTTGTACATACACAAAGTTTAGGTGCATACTAAACTTTTAGGTGAGAAAAAGAGAGGTTGCTAGTCTCGTTGTATAACTCCATCTCTCTTTTTCAAGACATTAATAAAACTTAAGCGGGAAATGTAAAATAAACCCTAAGAACTTTTGAGTAAGGTTGACACTTGTGTTTTGCAGTAATAATGATTCGTTTATTTTTCTGGTGGATTAAATAATGTCGAAGTGTGTTAGTGTACTACATGCGTTGCTGAACCGATTATGATTCTTAAGTCAGATACAATAAGGTATTTTTCTGTAAAATGAAAGTTTTTAAACTAGGTTATAGTTTGTAAGTTAGTTCAATCATAAACAATGCAATTTTGTGATAATAGTAGATTTAATATAAAAAATTAGTATAAGTATTGTGTGATTGTTAAAGCGTGGGAAGTGTAATAAATTAAATTATTCTATTTGTTTTTATATCGCTTTTTTATTTGACGTCATTCCTTAATAAAATTTTGCCTTCATTGCTGAAAATAAAAACAAAACTGATATATTACCATAATGTAAAAAGTAATATAATTTTGGAAAAAATAAAAGTAAGAGACCTGCAACATATTACTACTGAGTGGAGCCCAATCAACGTCAATAGACGTCGCGGTAGGCCCAAAAGGAGATGGACAGATGAACTCGACGCCTATGAAAAGTATTGGCCACAGAAAGCTATAAGAAGAGTCGAAGGAGGGTTTTTTTTTATGGCATACATAAGCCGGTCAACGAGCAGACAGATCACCTGATGGTAAGCAATCGGCGCCCATGGACCCCTGGAACACCAGAGGCGTTACAAGTGCGTCACCGGCTTTTTGGGGATTAGGAGTTTGAGGATCGTTGGGGATTCAGGGATTAGGGAGATAGGGATAGGGGAAGGTAATTGGAAGGTAAGGAGGCCTTTGCTTTGCAGTGCGACGACCATGGCTAAAAAATAAACAATAAATAAAATAATAATGAGACCTGCAACCATCATAAACTTCTACTACCACATAATAAATAGTTTATCTATAATTCAATGCCTAGATGACGCCGCTAATCTCTTTTTTCTTTATTTATTTAGAGGCATGTAGTTTGAACAATAACCAGATTCGTTTCATCGTGGTTTGTAAGCTTCTTTCTTATATACACATGTTTGTAACTAACTATATAGGTTCAAGAATTTATCAAAAGAAATACAAACTACTTATCTATCTACATTAGTAATTTCGTCAAGGGGTACGGTAGACTCGATCAAAACATTGCCTGAATAACAAAACAAAAAAATATCGATTTCGAGCCGAGAACATATATCCGCAAAATTCGGATTACGGAGATTAATTCATTTTAATGACACTGACAGACAAACCGCAGTCGCCATCTTGAGTAGACGTTTCATACTAGCTCTCAAATACGACTCACCAATCAACACGTTGTCGCGTCAAAAAAGTATAAATTAACAAGAAATATGAATAATTTCACGCGAACGAAGTCGCGGGTAACAGATAGTATGAAATATTCAAGACGCAGTACAGATTTCATATTATTATAATTATTTTTATTTATAGGAGAAGCCGATAAACGAGCAGACAGATCACCTGATGTTAAGCAATCGGCGGCGTCGCCCATAGACATCTGGAACACTAGAGGCGTTACAAGTGCGTTACCAGCTTTTTGGGGATTAGGAATTTGAGGGTTGTTGGGGATTCAGGGATTGGGAAGATTAACCAAAATAAGTAAAATATTACTTACGCACTCAGTGGCTAGTGAAATTGAGACCTAACTTGTCTGCATCTAGCATTCTGCGAATTTTCGAAAATATGAAACTTGGAGAAATTGGTAGGTAGTATCACACAATCAACAAAGCAGTCAAAAGATCAAATACGTTCTATAATACCTGAGACAATATTATTGTCACGACTTCACGTGTATTAGATAGTTCTATATTGTTATAATATAATTATCTCAACCATTGGGAAGAAAGGCAGATAGTAGTCGCTACCTGAAAATATTACTAGTTAAGCTCATTATTAAACATCCTTATTAAAACCCTAAAACAATGACACGGGTACAACGAACTATTTTGACGATAATTATAACCTTCCTTTGAAGAGTTTATGAAGATTTTTAGATAACATTTCAAACATAGCCTATAAATAATTAAATTAAAACAACGACATTTGACACTTTGTGAAAGCGTGCGGTCGGCTATGTTGAATATTTTTGTTACCACGAGTATATTCAACAATACTTGGCATTTGTGATTGAATACGCCTGGGTTACGAATACGATGCGATGTTGTTTCGCTTGCGCCTGGCGGGCGGTTCGCTGCCGGCGCTTTGTCGGCGCGTTGTCGGCGCGTTGTCGGCTCGCTAACGGCTCGCTGGCGGCGTGCTGGAAACACGCGAGTGCCTCAACGACAACTCGAGAGGATCGCGCGCTGACCACCCGCCGTCGGCTGTTTGAATTGACGCTATAAAATAAATCATGTGGTATATGATTTAAAGTTCATATTTACAACTTCGTGCCGGAGCCGGGCTTGTTAGGTGTGCAATGACAATTAGTGTCCGCGCAAGAACAACATGAGTTCCATTGTGTCATGAAACTGGCAGAGATTTCCTCTGACATTTCACTGTAAATTAGTGGTGTCTAAATAATCTTAGAAAGTACGTATTACAAATCCGAAAAAGTTACATTGGAACTGGCCAGCTTTCGTTTTAACCTTCGAGCTACCACGACATGATTTTAAATTATCTCCTTGATTTCATCAATGGAGTAAATTACCATGTAAAGGAGGTTGCAGTGTGACTGTGCACCATTAGTATTTGTTAAATAGAATAGTAATTGCATGAATTAACAGTTTGATACAATGACCGTATCATACAGTCTTAACTATAATGAAATTTTAAACTAGACGTAGAAGATATTACCGAGATAGTGGCTAAGTATATGCTCAAATATTTATACAGATGCGTTTTCTATTTACAAGGAAAAATGAGAATCCGAATATTTGCGATAAATATACATAGGTACGAAGTGCGAGGGTCGCTCGGAGGACACGATGGAGCATACGGTGGCGGTGTGCCCTGCGTGGGCTGAGCACCGCAGTGCCCTCAGGGATGTGGCCAAGGCGACCTCTCGCATTCGGCACTGGTTCAGACCATTGTATTGAGCGATGAGCACTAGGATGCCGTGTCCTTCTTCTGCGAAGTAGTCATGCTAGCTAAGAAGGAGGCTGAGCGCGAGAGGGACCGTACCTTCTCACGCACCAGTGTGAAGGCCGCCGTCGTCGCGAGAGATACTCCGGGCGTCGGGGATCGGGAGACGATCTCCGGCCACCGTAAGCACGGGCCTGCGGACGGCGAAGACGGGCCTATCAGAACCGGAGCCGAGCGTCCGGGGCGTCTCAAGGCGTCCCAAGTAGAGGCCTCAAGGAGGAGACCACCACAGACGGGGCCCAATAAGGCTGATGTCGATACGGAGCCGCGGAGAACTTAACGGGTTGCCTGGGCACCGGCTTGGATTGCAGGAGAAGGAACGGGGTGGTTTTTAGTCAGTAAGAGTCTGACAATCTCACTCACCTCACCCAGGCGGGAGAAGTCATTGGATGATTTTAAAACCCTCAAAAAAGAGGTATGTACGCAGTAACTTACGCAAAGAAATGACTAGTCATTCTATGAATGGAAAACTATTAAGATTACCTATATTTATATCATAGCTATATTCGCCATACATATTGTATAATTAGTCGACACTATCTACTGAAATATAACAATATCATTTTGTTCGTTCTGATGTAAATATGTATTTACATTAAACTACGATGTCTGATAGTGGCATCTTGGTTAATTAAGGTTCCGTATAATTTAAAGAATGTCTGCTGCTTTATCATATACTTGGTTTTGATCGACATTTTTTACGCGTATATACATTTTCTCGTATTCTATTAGTACTGTTGGGAAACTTATCGAATATAGATTCCTCTGTTGAAATTTTAAGGAAACATTAGAGATTTTAGATATTATACGTGTAGCGTCAAAATGGGCGATGAATTTAAATGAAAGGAAAAGAAAGTGAACGACCAAAGATGGGATGAATGGATAGTGCAAGGAGTGATATGAAAGAGGTTTAGTTGAGGAGAACTGAAAATAGATATATTAATACTATTATGCTCAAACGTACAACACATCATTTTAGAGTGATAATTAAAATCAATTACTAACTATAATACTTAACCATCGAGAAAAATTCCAAATTAATTGAACCATACAATTAACTCACGTGGACGATGAAAAAACATACAAGTTTAAAATGTCACAGCAGCTTCATGAGCAGCGCGTGCCGCAGCGCAATGACGTCGCGTAACCAATTAAAGAGAACTATTTACTAACGAACTACAGATAGAGATGGGTTTATCAATTACTAGATACGGAACCCAATGCCAGAACAAGATGGAACTGGATGCCTAATAGCTTTAATTACCTATAAAATACGAACATTAGTCTGATTGTCGCAGTGGCAGTGAAGATGCCAGTAAGATAATGTATTGCTCACACTGACATTAATTAAAAATAAGTTCTTTTTATAATTAATTAGTATTATTATTTAAATTAGTAAGTGTAAATAGTGAAAATGACAATCAAAACTAATAGGGTGCCGTTTGAGGAGGCGCTGAACATGACAGGTAAGATGGTTTTGGAAAATGTTAAATATCATGATTTTTTTTAAACGTTGCCCCACACTAGGATTTTCTCCTGTGTCGTGGGTGTGTTTACAAACATACAAATTCACATACACATGTCACCCAGGCCCGATACAACAATTTGTGGATCACACTAAGTGTTGTTCTGCTGTTGTTCGCTGCACAGCATTCGGTTGCCCAGCCACCATGCAGTTCAGCAATTTTTAATTTATGTTATGTAAAAAACATTTTTAAACTGTACTGAAATGTAATAATAAATAAATAATAAATAAATAAATAAGGAAGGATTCTCAAGCCTAACCAATTAGGAGAAACCTTGACGCAAAAATCATTTACTTAATATACAAAGCGTGATACAAGAAATCCATTTAGCCCTTTGAAGATTACTTCTCGTCTCTTTCGACTCTTGTTAAACTGATAAAAAGAAGATGGAAACAACTTTAACATTACTTATTTATTATTATATTATTTTTAGCTATGGTTGTCCCTCTGTAGAGCAAAGGCCTTACTACCCTACTACTACTTCCATGTGTGATCTATTTAAAAACTTGACCTAATAATGTAGTGTCACCTAGAATCTGTAGGATATCGAACTTCTCATCAAGTTTCAATAGAAGTATCGTGTTTTGGCTCATCATGATTACTTTTACAATTTGTCCACTTCTTCTTTGGATAGCCTAGTGCTCATGCCTGGTTGGTGATTAACCGACTTCAAAAAGAAAAAAACGGTGGTTCTCAGTATGACCTGTATGTAATGTACCTATGTTTGTGCGCATTTATCTCACGATTGGCTTAACCGATTTCGATGGGGATTTCAGAAAAATGTTTGTTGCACTTCGGAGAATGTTTTAGTATATTAATTAGCCTACATTCAAAAAGATGGAGGTTGGAGTCGGTTGTTTTAAAAGTAGTTTATAAAAGAAATGTCGTGGTGGCCCGGAGGTTTAAGACGCCCGCTTCCCATGCATGAGGGTGCGGGTTCGAAACCTACCAACAGCAAGTACCAATGTGACTTTTTACGAGTTATATGTACTTTCAAAGATTATTCAGACACTACTGACAAACGGTGAAGGAAAACATCGTGAGGAAACCTGGGCTTATAATTTCTAATTACAAGTTTGTAATCACCCACCCGCATTGAGCAAGCGTGGTGATTAATGCTCAAACCTTCTCCGTGTGAGAAGAGGCTTTGCTCAGCAGTGGGCATTTATGGGCTGTTGATGATGATAATGAAAATAATTATTTGAAGTTTGCAGATCACTGAAATTATAGAGGATTGACTTCAGGATTCACTTGCTGTCTTCATTTTAGGACAAAATCTGGTTTTTATCATCACTATAGTGACTTTATATTGAAAAGGAAGATTGATGTGATCGTTTGAACATTATTTTACTTATTTGAAATTTATTTTATTTTTCCTTTATTATTTTCCTGATTGTTGTTGATATTGTGATTGCTAGTTCTTTTAAGTCCGGTTTAACTGTAATCCTTAGTCAGTTTAAGTTTGCAGATCATCAATACTTAATGTCACAGTTTCTGGAATTGTGCCATTTCGTCAATAATAGGCATGAATACTTTATTTGTTTAATTACTCTAAATAAGATAAGCAATTCACCATAGTCATTATATGTCGGTTTTTTACCATAATCTTTCTGTTATGAATATGTTTTTATCTTATGTCGTGCGTGATTCGACATCTTTTAGAGTGTGAGATAAAAATATTAATGAAACATTATTTAATATAACGATGCGCTTATCTGCTTTAATTATTATTATGCACATTATATGATTTGATAAAAATGTGTAAATCTTAGTCAGAGAGACAGGGGGTGACGGGGATCCCCCGTCACCCCCTGTCTCTGTGGAACGTACCCAGAAGACTGGCAGCATTGCCACGTTGAACACAATGCTTATTTTTCTTTTAGATAACTGCTGTACATCCATAACAAAAGAAACCCTATCTTCAATCCATACGGATAAGCCAGTAACATACCTATGTATATTAAATTTTAATATTGTTTCAGACTTCGTGTCTCATAATACGTCAGCCCAGCCTCCAGAGGGGCTGATACGAGTTTATTTCACATTTCCACGTTTACCACTCTGATTGGTTAGCTATGCATCATAAAGGTTTCGATAATGTTAAACGTAGAACAAATTCGTACTAAGCCCTTACTTTGGTAAGAACAAATTCGTACTAAGCCCTTACCAATGTAATCTACGAAAAAAAAATACAATATCAATATATTGTAGGTACATTTTTATACTCTCGAGTTGCAACACTAGCGTCCATTGCATCCGCATTGCGTGGATATGGAATTAACAAAATGGTATTGAGTTTGGCTTTATATTCCGTACTCTGAATGCTATTTTGACAGCTACGATAGGGGTGGTATAGTTGAGATCGGTTTCAAGAGTAAGCCCCCGTGTCGGATTAAAATTCCAGCCTGGCTGGGATGGAACACCTTTAACTCAGCACTGGTGCTAGCGATCACTCCATCAACACAATTACGTTAACACATTACCCTGCTTTGCACGCGGTCGGGTAAACAGTACGTAGAGCATAGTACGAGTATCACTCCACTATACGTCACAATTTACAAACATACTTTTCACGTACAAGTAAAGCAAGTTGTGATGAAGAACTAGTATTTACACAATAGATGATATATCTATATATATAAAAATCAATGCCACTTTTCGTTGTAATTCCATAACTCAAGAACGGGCTCACCTATCCAAACCAAATGCTTAGGATTTGGTCGGCATATTTAGTAGATGGTTTATGTGAAGTTTGCACAAAATCGGTCGAGCGGTTCCTCATTTGTCACATTTTTTGTAATAAATGAATTCAATAGAAACTTTTTTCACAGAAACTTTTTTGAAGTTTTGTTGACAGGACAAGCACGTTGTTATGTCATTCATGCCGTCAGTTCATTTTGGACGTGGTTTGATTAAAGCATATTATCAGCGATAAATTTCTTTTCACATAATTGCATTTGCAGTGCATTCATACAAACGGTGAGTCCTGAATCTATGTGTACTTTTCTAAGTTGCCGTATATGATTTCACATAGCATCATATGCGACAGCTTCTTGGGAATTTGTTTTTTTTTTTGTTCTAATTTTTTTTTTCGATTTTTAAGCGAAAACATATGTGCATACGGGAAAAATGCCACCAGCCAGACGAGCAAATATAGGTCGGCGAACGCGTAATGCAAATGATGTGGCATTACTAAGACGATCACAGACTGCAGATGAACGCGCACAAGCTAATGCATCGCAGCGTGAACGTAATGCACGCAATGGATTTGTTAACCCAATACCTGTACTGAATCTTGCACGGCCATCACGAATACGTCGTGCTGTTTTGGCTGAAATGATGCGTGCTGCTTTTAATTACAACAGTCAGATTGATTATAGTATGTATGGATACATTGGAATGATGGACGCAATATGTCCACATTGTGATGCGGCTAACTTTCCAGGTGAAACGCCCGGCATGTGTTGTGCTAATGGCAAAGTGAGATTGCCAGCATTAGAAACTCCACCCGAACCATTGTATTCATTTATTTTTGGGACATCGCAAGCGTCGAAGCACTTTCTGAGTCATATTCAACAATACAATTCGGCATTTCAAATGACTTCTTTTGGTGCAACTAAAATTATTAGAGATAATTTTATGCCGACGTTTAAGGTAAATACTTCAACAGGATTATTCCATGTTTGTATCAATCTGAAGCATAAAGTATATTTAAAAAAAAACTGATATAAGATTTACCTAAAATTGTATACATGTTACAGATTCAGGGCCAGATTTATCATCAAGCTGGTTCGTTATTGCCATACCCCGACGCTGATCATCAATTTTTGCAAATTTATTTTATTGGTGATGAAAATCGTGAATTGGATCAACGTTGTGCAATTGTTTCGAATACAAGACGAGAAATTATTCGTGAGTTACAAAGGTTTTTCCATCAGCATAACGCATTAGTTCAATTGTTTAAAATTGCTCTCGATCGTATGCCAACTGATAATCACAAAATCGTAATAAGAGCTGATAGAACACCTTTTGGAGAGCATGCAAGGCGATTTAATGCACCAACAATTGATGAGGTTGCAATTGTAATTCTTGGTGATCAGTTTCAATCCCGTGATATTGTACTTCATCGTAGAAATGAGCAATTGCAACGTGTTTCGGAACTTCATCGTAGTTACGATGCATTACAGTACCCAATATTGCATTGGAAAGGTGACGATGGTTACCATATCAATATACCAATGATTGATCCACGAACAGGTAAATAATTGACCTATTTTTAGTGTGTTGACATTTCATTTCTACAACTTTCTAAAGTCACATTTTGTAATTATTTTCAGGTCTACATATACAGAAAAAAGTTATCATGATTGGTTGACAGAACGCGCCATTTTAGCACCGAAAAACATTCATGTCAATGCAATTAATTTTCAAATTCAAGCGAAACTGCCAGGCGTAGTCACGAAATATAAATCAATTGACAGTGTTATGAATCAAGATGAGGCAATGAATTATCCAATTGAATTTTTAAATTCATTGGAGCCGGCTGGTATGCCACCGCATTGCTTGAATCTGAAAGTTGGTTCTTCGATTATATTATTGCGAAATATTAATCCACCAAAACTGTGTAACGGAACCAGATTGGCAGTGAAAAAGTTATTGCCAAATTTGATTGAAGCTACGATCTTAACTGGTAAATCAAAAGGAGAAGTTGTTTTGATACCGCGTATACCTATGATTCCAACTGATATGCCTTTTGAGTTCAAACGTTTACAATATCCTGTGCGTTTATCATTTGCGATGTCCATCAACAAGGCCCAAGGTCAAACACTTCACGTTTGTGGTGTGAATTTGGAGGAACATTGTTTTTCACATGGCCAGTTATATGTTGCCTGTTCCAGAGTCGGTACCCCCAGCCGTTTGTTTATTTATGCTCAAAATGGAAAAACAAAAAATATTGTTTATCCAAATGTTTTGGATTAAGTGTGTTGTAAATAGCTAGCAATTGATTTCGATTTTAAATAAAATATTTTTTTGATTAAATAAATGAATTTGATGTTCCGATTTGTTTATTTTATTTCACTTTATACGTAGCGAAGCACGTACCGGGCCGCTAGTATTTAATTTAAAACGTTATAAAGCCATTGATAAATTTGCAAAGCTTATCAGGGAAGATTACTGTGTCAAGATTGACTATATATGTATATATGTATTGTTATATAAATGTTTGTATACATGGTACTATGTACATTAGGACAGGTGTTTTCTTTGCATCACGTTTAAGATTCTTGCGCCATTATATCTAATTAGTAGCAATGATTCTATTTCGAGCAACTATGAAATTCTTGTTGAAATCCTATAGAATTATTTTAGCGAATTCATCTAGACAGTTAAAATGTTTAAACAATTGGGCATGGACAATATTTCTCTATTTCTCGCTTGGTCTTCTAAAATGTCTTTCTGATACGATCCGGTTTTCGAATTTGGTGTTTTAAATAAGCTCATCCCTCAGTTCAAAGGGACTAAGAAGTAATGAAAAGTATATTTGGCAACATGGTTGGTGTGGTGGCTGGGCACACGGTTGCCGCGCAACGTGTCGCGGTGTCGATTCGCGCACGGAACAACTCTTTGTGTGACCCAAAAATTGTTAATCCGGGTCTGGGTGTCATTTGTATGTGAACTTGGATGTTTGTAACCGCACCCACGACGCAGGAGAAAAGCCTAATGTGGGGCAAACTTAAAAAAAATGTATTTAATTCATTCTTTAATTATTCCTTACAGATCTAAACCTTTTCATTTTTATTACTCAAAAAATAATCGAAATAAATAATTTTCTTGTCTTTATCAATAATATCCTGTCTCTTCCAGGGTTCAGTCGCTACAACCTGTATACTTTCATGCTGAGTGCCAGCATCATCATTGGCATGACCTTCGAGATCTTCTCCGTCTCCTACCTGGTGCCAGCCAGCGCTTGTGAGCTGAACACCAGCAGCACACAGCAAGGCCTGGTGGCCTGTGTACCTTTGATCGGTAAATATTATTATCGTTTTTACTTAAAGCGTCAGAAAGAGGAAACGACTAATAACATCACCTGTGTTGATTCAAGTTCATTAGAGCAAACTTTACATTTTAAAGATTTAGATCATTTAAAACCTTTTGGGGCTTAACAATCTTTAGATTATTTGAAATTTTAGGAACTATAGGAGTTTTTAAAGCCTCTGAAGCCTTAGGGTCTTTCTCGGTCTCTTCAGAGCCTAAACACTCTAAATCTTTAGGTTCTGAAGTTTTTTTGTAATACAGGAGATAATAAACTTCTGGTATTAAAGACTAGTTCTTTCCTCCTAGTTATTTTATTTATTCATGGTATGTTTGTTATCCAGGTACAATCGCCATGTCACATATTTGGGGCTACCTGGCAGACACGAGGGGTCGACGGACGATCCTCATAGTATCTATGACAATCACCTACATTGCTGGGACCTTAGCCGCCTTCTCTCCTAACTGGATAGTTCTAGGTTTCCTGAAACTTTTGTCATCGGCTTCGTAAGTATCTTATAATTTAGACTTTAATGTAGCAATGGGTTAATAAGTCTGAAGGTATAAATGGAATGAACTTCTTTGTAAGTCCACAATTAGAACTAAATGCAACGTACAAACATTCACGTTTGTCGCGGAGAACCTAACGGGTAACCGGGGCTACGGCTCGACGTGCAGGAGAAGGAACGGGGTGGTTTTTAGTCAGTAAGAGTCTGACACTCACTCACTCACCCAGGCGGAAACAGTCATTCGATGATTTTACCCCTTAAAAAAAACATTTACGTTTTGTTTAGACAAAACCAATTGGTTAGAGAAATTACCACCAGGCAAGATAGTGGCCAAACGTCGGCCATCAAATATATATATTATATCTACCAATACAAGTACTAAAATCTCTATTAATCTATGATATTAATTAGTGTCATCGTATTGTTCTGCTTTACTGAGTACCAAGCACGAATAACTATCGTAATCGTAACGTTATAGTATGATTGGCCGGCTCCGGTAAACCAACCAATCAGAGCGCCGAACGCGCTCGATACTATTACGTTACGATTGCGATAGTTATTCGTGCTTGGTTCTCTGATATCGTACTGTCTAAGGATTTGTGACAAAAAATTAATGTTCTATTTTCCTCATTGCAGTGTATCTGGTTCTTACGCTTTAGCTGTGACGCTTCTCAGCGAGTGTACTCCTATGGCCCGAAGAAGTTCCCTTGTGTTACTGACGACCACAGTGCACTTGGCTTCAATGGGAATTATGGCAGGTAAACACCAATTTTTATTTGTTTATTTTATTTCACCCATACGCACGAAGTGCTTCGCATAAGGCTTCCTTGTGTGTACTGCTAAGGAGTGGGAATTGTTTGCCAGAATCTATTGCCTGAAGGGTATACCTGGGTGTCTTTTTTATGGAATATGAGGCAAACGAGCACACGGATCACCTGATGGTAAGCGATCAACGCCGCCCATGGACACCCGTATCGGTTCGGAAATACCGCCGACGACAGATGATTCCACAGTTTTGCTGTGCAAGGCAGAAAACTACGTGAGAAGCGCACTGTGGTGGCCTGCCAACCATCTTCAAGGCCCGAGTGAATAGGTTGCTTATGGGACGATGCGCTCCATCGCATATATATACACATATTTCTCTCTCTTATGTTGTGGAATTCTAGGAGATTGTGGCTATTGTATATAGAACTATTGTATCTTAGAATAATAATAATAATAAGCATTTGAGGATAGAAGCCTAATAGCTAATTGATAGCTTGTAATGAATGTCATAGTTAAAAGGTTTGTCAGCTAGTGTTCGATATAGAAATATTTTGATTAATGAACCGGGTCATATAAGAGATGTTAATTGAGTTTCTTAGAAATGATATTGTAAACATAGACCCAGAAGACTTTAAATAGGTCATCACTATTTAAACATAGTTGACATGACTGCCTCGTTGGCCAAATGGTCGCGAGTGTGCCTGCCGGACAAGGGTCTTGGGTTCGATTCCCAGGTAGGACAAAGTACTAGGTACTGGGTTATTAAAAAAATCTCAGTAGTAGCACGGAGTCTGGAATTAAGCCTGGTATATGGCAATAGGCTCACCCCCTACTACATGGGACTCATAACATAAATAGTGAAAAGTGGGTGGTACATTGTACAGTTGCATTAAGTGCCGTAATATGTACCTCTGCCTACCCCTTCGGGGATAAAAGGCGTGATGTTGTATACTCATTAATATTCTTATCTTTCCAGTGATAGCCATACCGGTTCTTCCATTGCCCTTCTCCTACCACATTCCATTCTTGGATATCCAGTTCAATTCCTGGAGGGTTTTAGATCTGATCTTCGCGGTTCCCAGTGCCCTCAGCATCATTGGAAGTTACTTTGCCTATGAGAGTCCCAAATACTTGGTGAGTGTTGGTCGGGATGAAGATGCTTTGGCAGTTTTAAGAGGAATCTACACAATGAATACTGGAAAAAGTGCTGATAATTATAAGGTGAGTACTGATGAACATAAGTAATAGGTATTTTTTAAAGGGGATAAATCATCGAATTGCTGCTCCCGCCTGGGCGAGGAGGGAGGGTGTGTCAGATTCTTACTGACTAAAAACCACCCCGTTCCTTCTCCCGCACGTCGAGCCGGAGCCCCGGTAACCCGCGACGTAATAGGTATAGGAATAGCTTAACAGCAGAAACATCTCGTGAGTCCCATAGAGAAAAGAGGGTGAACCAGTTGTCTGACATGTTTTCTTTTCTTGCAGGTAGATGCTTTAGAATTAGATGAGGAACAGTCATCAGCTCTCCACAAAGGTTTCTGGGGCTCCATAGTAGCCCAGACAATGCCTATGATCAAACCGCCTTTATTGAAACATACTATTCTACTCTCATTCCTGTTCGCCATTACTTATATCACGTGAGTATTATTATCAGAAGCTCGTGATGATTCACTGATGGCCGTTAGACGGCTTCCATATTAGAGGACTATGTCTTCCAAGTACTAACAAAACCTGTTTACTACTTTATTCATATTATGTAAGACTGCCTCGTTGGCCGAGTGGTCGCAAGTGCAACTGCTGGGCAAGGGGTCTCGGATTCGATTCCCGGGTCGCGCAAAGTAATAGCACGGAATTTGGAATTGTGCCCGGTATATGGCAATAGGCTCACCCCCTATTACATGGGACTCATAACATAAATAGTGAAAAGTGGGTGTTACATTGTACAGTAAGTGCCGTAATGTGCACCTCTGTCTACCTCTTCGGGGATAAAAGGCGTGATGTTATGTTATGATTAAATTGATCCATGAATGTGATGGAAGCTAACGACAACTCAGTAGATGGTCCTGATTAGTTTCAGCCAATCCTATGGCGAGTTTATGTGAATAAATAATTAAATTTTTTTCAGAATGAACGCGTTCTTCGTGTGGTTACCCTTCATAGTGAACGCATTCATGACGTCAGTGGTGGCGGGGCAGAAAGACCTCACCATCTGCGAGATGATCAGACTCACTCACTCACTCAACTCCACATCCACATCCACAATCCAGGTATGTGTTGAAAGATATTGCCCTCCCCTTCCCCTATCTCCCCAATCCCTGCATCCCCAACGATCCTCAAACTCCTAATCCCCCAAAAGCCGGTAACGCACTTGTAATACCTCTGGTGTTCCAGGTGTCCATGGGCGACGCCGATTGCTTACCATCAGGTGATCCGTCTGCTCGTTTACCGGATGCCATAAAAAAAATGACGTCAATAATAGATAAAGCACCAACATCATAAGCAAAACTTAAAGTAACAATTAACAAAACTTAGATCTTTATTTATGAAATATTTATATTTCAGGCACAAGACTGCTCTATGAACACAGAAGCCATGACTCTGGTCTTCGGTATCACTATGTTCCTGGCTGTCGGGAACCTCTTCATGAGCAGCATCATCAACTGCGTCGGTAGGAAACGACTGGTGATTGGCATACAGGTAATACGGAAGGTCCCATACAACTATTTTCAATAAATATTAAAAGTTAATCGGTCAGTAGATGCTCCTCACATGTTTCTCGTACACACGGGTGTACGAGAGAGTTGAGTGCCCATCGCGCAATTGTACACACGGGTGTACGAGAAACACGCACCGATTGGATATTTTTTCTGTGACGTATATTTTTAAGTTTGCAACCCGTTCTTTATTTGATTGGACAGAATAGTTAATTAGCTTTTCTATTAAAATATTTACCCGTGTGTACGAGAGGCGCGCGAGAGGTTAACTACATTTTTTTCAATGACGTTATTAATTTCTTCCTGATACTTTTTATTTATTTATTATGTCACGTTGCATAGTCAGTGCAGTAACTAATCCTGTTGTTTTTCTCAGATGATTGCTGGCACATCAGCCCTCCTCCTCAACTTCAGCCCCTACTGGATCCTGAGTGCCATCATGTTCATGGTGTTCCTGTCCGCCATCTTTAATTTCGGCTTCATGAATACATACAGCGTCGACGTGTTCCCCACTTATGTCAAGTAATATGAATTTAAATGACTTTTTACTACAAAAAGGATTTTTTATAGGCATCAGAGTATGAAAAATACTAGAAACATACATAACATCACGCCTTTTATCCCCGAAGGGGTAGGCAGAGGTATACATTACCGCACTTAATGCCACTGTACAATGTAACACCCACTTTTCACTATTTATGTTATGAGTCCCATGTAATAAAGGGTGAGCCTATTGCCATATACCGGGCACAATTCCAGACTCTGTACTACTGATACTGATTAAAAAAACTAGATGACACAAAAAAAATATAAAAAAGAGGGCGAAAATGAAATATGTAACTTATTGTTAAAGCCTTTAGATTACAATTGAGACTGCTTTGCTGTAGGGACAACTGTAACTGTTGAGGAAGTTTAGATTCGATTAATATTTCATGTGATTTTTGATTTGCAAAAAGTGTTTTGAAACCAGATAATCCAATTAATTCTAATACAACAACTCAAAATGTCGCAAATAATCAAAATACTACAATTTTAATTATATTTTCCAGAGCCATGGCAGTATGCCTCACCCTGATGGTAGGTCGTGGTAGCGCAGTGATTGGCATCAACGTGCTCAAACAGCTGCTAGACAACAACTGTGAAGCTGCCTTCTATATTTATGGATCCATCGCTTTTGGTAAGCATTACTTACACTTATTTCTGTATTACTTACAAGATAACCCGACTATTATTTATATTTCAAGCCAAGCTAGGGACTCATAGTTATGTGCAGCATTTTGTGACAAATGACATGTTATTATATGTATATTATATCAATATATTTATAATATGTATATTATATCAATATATTTTCGATTATTGAGTTTAGTTTAGCCAAGAATATGTGCAGTTTTGTTTTTCTTTATAATTTTGTTATATTTGGACGTAACATAGATTTAGTTTTTTAAGGCCTAGCTATCGCAATGGAGAAACCTGTCATAATAGTTTAGGTAAGGTTTAAATAAATAAATAAAAAAATACAATATCTAAAACTGAAAGAAAGGGTTACTCATGTACGTATCTAAAGATTTGGCAGTTCTATAGTTCATCTAAAGATCTTAATATATTAGTTGCATGCTCACATAATTTACATTCACACCTAGAAAAAACTAGTTGTATTGGGGGATATTGTACATTGAATTACTAAGTAAGAATATACTAACAATTATAGTGCAATAGTTCCTAGCATTAATAGTTAAGTTAATCAACCTTAATGCAATAATACCGTTGTATCTACTTAATAATAATGTCTATCATATTAGCAATATCTAAACTTGATTGTCCTTTGTTTTTTTTGCAGGTGGTGGCATAGTGGCCTTCCTTCTGCCTTCTGATGAGAAGATTCAAGCGCAGAAGAAAGTATTAAATACAAAATAATAAGTATTTCGTCATTTGTAAGAGATTCAATGTTTCTTTCGCCTAAAGATTGCTATCTACATTTCTTAAGGCGCTTCTTAATATAGTACAAATCTTTCTTTTCCTGTTTTTTGATGAATTTATTTTTGATAGTTTTACTATTAGTATTAACAATTTTACTTAATTTATTTATAATACATTTTAAATGAGCTGTGACTGTATGCTATGGGTATCTATGTGAAGAGTTAAAATAATAAAAAAATAAGTATTATTAAAGTTTGTATTATTTATATATCTACAATTCTTTTTTTTTCTGATTATAATAAATCTTAATTATGCTAGTAATAGGCACCTGTCATAGGATAGACGACTAATTTTTATTTTAATGTCCGTCTGATAGATTATTTAAAAACATTAGACACGTATTTTTTATTTTCTCACAGAAACGAATAGTTTCGAAGATATATTGATTTGAAATGTAGCGTGACGTCACTTCTCAGTACATTTTATACTAAGGAATGACGTTTTAGCCCCCACTCCTAAACTTTGATTCGTTTTATCTAAGTATTGTTTTATTATACGACAAAATAAAAAAATACGTGTCTAATATTTTTTCATTACCTAACTTACGGACTAATTATATTTTTAATTTTCATACCCTGTCATCATCCCCATTATACACGCTAAGTTTAATTACCTGGATGACTGAACTAAGCTAGACGTTTCCTTTAGTAAATGTCATTTTCTAAAAATGAAACCTAGTTATATCGATTTATTGCTACTGAACGTCCTAAATACAATATTACAAGAAGAAAATCGTTGGAGTTATTTCCAAGATATCGAGTTTCGTTTATAATTATAATTTGAATAAGTACTACAAGAATTGCTCATATTAGATTTAGGTCAAAACTGCATATAACTACCCCATTACGTACACTTTTACAAAGTCACTGACATACTTATTTCAGAAAATCATAACTACCCTCGATTTATAACTTTAGTTAGAAAAAATCCTATACTCGTCCATTTCGTTCCCCGCTTGCCTGGCGCATAGGCAGCCATGTTCCAAGTTTAAATTTGAATTCTCAAAATTAATTTGAATTTTTTTTTTCTTTATTCAATTACTTCAGTTTTAAAATAAAGTGGATTTTTCCATGAAAATGAGTCTGTATAACTTTCTTTTACGTCTTTTTCTGTATGTAGTTATAGTGTGTCCAGTTATAGTGTTTGCGCACGCGCATGATAAAAGCTATGTGACACATGGTCAAGGTAAGATGTTGATTTATTATTTAATTCTAACTTGAATTGAGGTTAGGTTTCAGTAAAATAATATTATTAACATTTTTGCAAAAAACAAATATATAACCTCACATATCCGTGGATGGAGTGCATACTGCTGCTTACCTATTTTTTTGAGGATCTAAGTAATGGACTTTAGGAACTATGACTCCACCAGTAATCAATAATAATGCTAACTTATAAAGACAATCCTCAAATTACTAACCCACCAAAAGGCCGGTAACGCACTTGTGACGCCTCTGGTGTTTCGGGTGTCCATGGGCAGCATCGCTTGCTTACCATCAGGTGATTCGTTTGGTCGTTCACCGGCTAACCCATAAAAACAAATGAACATGTTTATTACTTATTTTTTAATATTATTAATTAATTTTGTATGAACCCAGTTAATTACAAACAGTGGGTACCATTCTAAACTCTATGCTACTGTTTGCAAAGAAAATTGTAATATAGTAATTTATCTACGTTATCAAGAACTTTGATCTTGTCATTTACGTCATCAATTTAATGATTTATTTTAATTCAGGCCATAACGCACACGTACATATAAAAGAGCCTCCTTGTTCCACATGCCCTCGTCACGGGCGCTGTGTGCCCAAGGTGCAGTGTCCAGCGCACGTGCGGAGCGGTTCCTATAACCCTGCATGTCACCTGGATGGTGTGGTTGGAGTCTGCTGCTTCACTGGAAGGAGTCATGCAAGTGAGTGGTAGTTACCTTACAAGAAATTAGAGACTGCCTCGTTGGCCGAGTGGTCGCAAGTGCGACTGCCGGGCAAGGGGTCTCGGGTTCGATTCCCGGGTCGGGCAAACTATTATTGGGTTTTCAAAAAAAAATCTCAGTGATAGCACGGAGTCCACGTTCGACGTGGAGGGCTAAGGGGGAGGCCTTTGTCCAGCAGTGGACGTCTTCCAGCTGTTGTTGATGATGATGATGAGCACGGAGTCTGGAATTGTGCCCGGTATATTGGCAATAGGCTCACCCCCTGTTACATGGGACTCATAACATACATAGTGGAAAGTGGGTGTTACATTGTACAGTAGCATAATGTGTTTATGTTAAATTAGAGATCCGTACGTAGTATGGGCTGAAGTTTGTCAATGAATACCTAACTCCCGAATACTGAAATGCTACCCAATTTAAAGTTGTACATAAGTATCGTGCCGTCTCTGTCATTTTACATAGAATTAGTAGTGACAGAACTATATTTAAGTGCGACTTAATACTGAGTGACGTTTGAGTATTGCAGCGTAAGATACTTGAGTATTTATTTATTTATTTATATTTAAAAACACCTTAAACTATCATTACAGGGCAATATATACCCTAATGCGACAGCTAAGAACTTAAACTAAACTTTTGTTCAATTATTTATTGACTAAAATTCACTATCATATCATTATTAAATAATTTTTTCTCTTACCCAGCGGAATCAGAGCATCGTTCCCGTGCATCCACAGCTACCAATATTCAAGACGTCAAGGTTTCCCATCGTCAGTCACGTCTGAAGCTGGAAGACTGGGTTATGACTGCCGCCGAGCTGCTCCAGCATTCCCCAATGACCGTCACCAACTCCACGTCTCCAAGTTTTGGACATCACTTGGTAAGTAATTGGTAGAAAGGCAATTTTTGCATGTTTTTTTATGGGATAAACCGGTAAACGAGCAGACGCATCACCTGATGGTAAGCAGTCGGCGCCGCCCATGGACACCTGGAACACCAGAGGCGGACCAAATACTTTACCAGCTTTCTGGATTAGGAATTTGAGGATTGTTGGTGATTCAGGGATTGGGGAAAGGGGGGGGGGGGTAATTGGGCCTCCGGTAACCTCACTTACACGACGAAACACAACACGAATGTTGTTTCACGTCGGTCTTTTGTAAGGCCGTGGTATCACTCCGGTCGAGCCGGCCCATTCGTGCCGAAGCATAGCTCTTCCACACTTAAAAATAAGTTGTGTTTTTAGGTTAAGTTTGTTGCATTACATTTTTCTTCAATGTATCCAATATATCCAAAGTATACTCGTCACTCCGCAGTCACACTTGGTAGTATTTTTATACTATCCATAATCCATTATAAATACTTAATTTTTTATTTCAGTCCGTAGTCTCACACGATGCTCGCGCCGCCTCACTCGGCCGCGGCGGCTTGTTAAACTTATTCGCTGCGCAGGAGTTGAAGGCGCGCCAGGCGATCTCTGAGGATGACCTGCTTTTGGGACTTACTGAGAACACCGATGGTTTGTGTTTTACACTCTCTTATGTAAATGTATTATAACTTTTGTTTATGAAAGAAGGTAAGAAAGGTAAGTCCAACCATTCACTCTTCTCAGCATCACCCAAAGGTCAGACTGGGAGTCCACCTTGTGTACAATGTGTGCATGAAGCGTTAATAAATAAAAAAGTAAGAAGTCAAAGAAAAAATTTTATTGTGTCTCTATCGTATCAGGCTTTTGCTGAAATACGTTACCGCTGCTATACCAGCCAGTATTCTGATTAATTGCAATATTTATACTTACTTAAAAAAAAATCACTAATACCGAAATACTGTAACGTTACTCAATTTTAAGTCGTGCTTAAGTATAGTTCTGTCTCTACAAATTCTTTGTAAAATGACAGAGATGGCACGATATTTTAGTACAACTTAAAATTGAGTAACGTTTCAGTATTCCAGCATAAGCCCTGTAACACCTACTCATATTAACCATTTTTCCATAACTGTTACAGGTCCATTCTGTCCACCACAGCCAACCTGTTTAGCTCCGAATCGATACAGAAGTATCGGAGGGGAGTGCAACAACCCCACCTCCTCCACCTGGGGAGCTGTCCTCACTGGCTACGAGAGGCTGCTGCCTCCTGATTATAGTGATGGTAATGTAAAAGTTACTCCTGTTGTGGTGTTTAGCATTTTATTCATTTGTTTCGCTGTCGTAACGTCAAATAAATTAATAACAATGATTTTGACTTGTGACTGCCTCGTTGGCCGAGCGGTTGCCAGTGCGACTACCAAGCAAGGGGTCTCGGGTTTAATTCCCGGGTCGGACAAAGTATTACTGGGTTTTTAACTCTCAGTAGTAGCACGGAGTCTGGAATTGTGCCCGTGATATGGCAGTAGGCTCATTCCTTATTACATGGGAATCATAATATAAATAGTGAAAAGTGGGTGTTACGTGTTGTAGTGGCATAATGTGTACCTCTGCATACCCCTTCGGGATAAAAGAGTGATGTTATGTTACAATTATTCTGGACAATACAAATACCTCATGTCCTTTTCAAATAATTGCAGCAATGCTAAACAAATTAATGATATTTTTCAGGTACTTGGGCAATAAGAACATCGAAATCTGGTGCTCCACTTCCAAGTGCGAGGACAGTGAGCAACGCTCTCGTGCTGGAGGGCAGCCACCCCAACCCTACACACAACCTAATGTTCATGCAGTTTGGGCAGTTCATCGCTCATGACATCAGCGCTGGAGTTGTTTTTACGGCAGGTGGGGAGAATATTTTAATTACTGTGATACAAGTCACAAAATTATGCTTACATGTCTTTACTGCCTCGTTGGCCGAGTCGTCGCAAGTGTGACTGCCGGGCAAGGGGTATCGGGTTCGATTCCCGGGTCGGGCAAAGTATTACTGGGTTTTAAAAATCTTAGTAGTAGGTAACACGTAGACTCATAACATAAATAGTGAAATGTGGGTGTGACATTGTACAGGGGCATTAATTGCCGTAATGTGCACCTCTGCCTACCCCTTCGAGGATAAAAAAGCGTGATGTTATGTATGTTTGTATGTGTGTCTTTACTCTTAAAATATTTATTTATCAGTTCATGTACACCATACAGCAGACAATATTACAGAGGAAAACACTCCACAAGCATGAGGTACATAGGTCACCGTCAAAACCTCATTAATTGATAACATGTTTGATATAAATCATCTTCAGATTCGAGTATTATCCTTTCTACCTGTGAGTAGTTGTCGATACGATACCAAATATGTAGTCTAAAACATGTACAAAGTATGAATTTCATTGTATCGAGAACTATGAAAACTTTAAATGTCATACGTTATCATCTTTCAGATAATGGAACTGCGATCTCATGCTGCATAAACGACGGTGAAGACCTCCTACCTCCAGAGCTGACACACTTCGCCTGTGCCCCCATAACCATAGACCCTGACGATCAGTTCTATGGCCAATTTAAGAGGAAGTGCATCAACTTTGTCAGAACACAGATTGCACCTGCTCATGACTGCTCCGTTGGTTATGCGAAACAGGTATGTGTAGGGCAAAAACATCATCAATATTTCCAGCATCTACATCAAAAACAGTTTAGATAACCTCATTTTTTGTGTCAATATTTTCATAAACTTCATTTTGTTTTTATAGATGAATGGTGCCACTCATTATCCAGACCTATCCCACTTGTATGGCAGTACAGAAGAGAAGTTGTCCTCACTAAGAGACGTTGGTGGGCTGCTGAAGGTGTTCAATGATTATGGGAGGGATCTCCCACCCCTTACAGAAAGGAAGGAGTGTCTGTCTACAAAGGAAGGTGCTGCTTGCTTCGAATCAGGTTTGAACATGTTTTGATTTAATCGATTTTCTATTATTATATTATCAGGAACTTCACACACATGATAAGAATGTACAAAAGTTTACATATTTACTTTTAAGTCAACAAAACCTTTGATTGATGGATTTCAACAGATTCGTGCCGAATCTATAAAAAAAAAACAACCTTAATCCTATCAGATACTTTACTTTTTTTTTTTCAAAATCTCATTTATTTTCATCACTTTTCCCAGGAGACAACCATGGAAACCAGATAATATCCCTAACAGTTCTCCACACAATCTTCACAAGAGAACATAATCGTTTAGCTCGAGCACTATCAGCCATTAACCCAACCTGGGATGAAGACAGAGTATTCTGGGAAACTAGGAGGATACTACAGGCGGAGTTCCAGCACATCATCTATAATGAATGGCTGCCCTTATTGCTTGGTACGATAAGATAAATAAGCCAGCTTTTCAACCGCAATTATTTTCGGCACCGTAAATACATACACCGTCTAGAAGTCTGCATTCTTTAAGGAGTGCAGAAGAAGAGTGAGACACTGAAACATAGATATTACACAAATAGTCACACTGATACCAAAACTACATTACTACTACAATCAGTCTACAGGACTCGTACTCAGCACCTTGCTGTTACTTAAGTTTTGATGGGATTGTTAGTCTATCACCATTAGGAAATAGATGTCGTTTATTCATAAGAGAAAATGATCATAACGGTGTACTTTATTAACAGGTCCTCAAATCATCAAGACATTCGCTCTTTCACCATCTGAAGGTTACTCCTCATCATACGACCCTCACGCCAACCCATCTCTATCAGCTGAATTCTCCACTGCTGCCATGAGATTTGGACATTCTGTGGTTGATGGTAGAATTACGTAAGTAGACTTTATCATAGTGAGACATGGCCATTATGGTGAGATACTGTGATCCAGCCGAATCTGTCCTGACGAATAAGAGTCTTCTTAAATTGAAATCTCCTGATTATGGTTATCATCGAGCTTTAATTGTCCTATTACTGAATAAAAACCTCTTGTCACATGAATTAAGTAGTATTACCACGCTTTTCTAAGGCAGATTGATTGGCATATTACGATGGGCTTGCGATTATTTAACTGAAATAATTATATTACAGGATCCCGAGTCCAAAAATGGGTAGAATATACGAGACCATATCTATTCAGGAGTTGATGTTCCAACCGACGAGGATGAGACTACGACACTTTCTGGACAGGCTGCTGATTGGTTTGTCTACGCAGCCAATGCAGATAGTAGATCCTTATGTTACTGAAGGGGTAAGTTTTACAATAGAAACCAGATCTTGTTATTAATTTTCTTAATAATCTTAAATCTAATAGACTTACTGTTTTTTCAGCTCTCCCGCTACATGTTCCACGGTGGCAATCCATATGGTGTGGACCTAGCAGCTATCAACATCCAACGAGGACGGGACCATGGAGTCCAGTCTTATAATCAGTACAGAAAACTGATCGGACTGGATATCTTTACTGACTTCCAACAGTTTCCACCAAATGTAAGTTAAACTAGAATAACTTTGTAAACAATCTGTAATCTGGATAAGCCGGTAAACGAGCGCCTGCTCGGTTTACCTGATGGTAAGAAATCGGCACCGCCCATGAACACCAGAGGCGTTAGAAATGCGTTACCGGCCTTTTGGGAAGTGGGAATTTAAGGATTATGGGGGTTCGGGGATTGGGAAGAATTGAGCCTCCGGTAACCTCATTCACACTACGAAACACAATGCGAGCGTTGTTTCACGTCAGTCTGTAAGGCCGTGGTATCGCTCCGATCAATTCATTCGTGCTGAAGCATGGCTCTCCCACACTTAATGGAAAAGACATATAAGCATTTTCTAATCGAGGACGTTTCGGAATACCTTACGAAAACCAGAGATTGGATTTATGGTGTCATACTTAGGAGTTTCACGTATGATGATGATTGCAAATATGCTCAAATCCTAACTATTTGCCGTGAACAGCTATAACGGGATTGACGAATTTCTAATTTCTCTCACAGGCAGCAAAACGTCTAATCACAGTATACGAAAACCCAGATGACATAGACCTCTGGGTGGGAGGGTTATTGGAAGAGCCAGTGGAAGGAGCCATTGTAGGACCAACCTTCGCCAACATCATAGCTGACCAGTTCGCCAGGCATAAGCACGGGGACAGATACTTCTATGAGCACGGACCTGATGTTAACCCGGGAGCTTTCACGCCTAGTAAGTAGATAGCTGCTATTTGCTTGTTTATAGACTTGTGTCAAATTGCAGAAGTCAAGCTTGCGAGTGGTCGCAAGTGCGACGGGCAAGGGGTTTCTGGTTCGATTCCCGAGTCGAGCAAGTAAGAGTGAGTTTAAAAAAAATCTCATTAGCAGCACGGAGTCTGGAAATGTGCCTGGTATATGGCAATAGGCTCACCCCCTATTACATGGGACTCGTAACATAAATAGTGAAAAGTGGGTGTTGCATTGTACAGTGGCATTAAGTGCCGTATGTGCAGGTGCACCCCTTTGGGGGTAAAAGGCGTCAAGTTATGTTATGTTATTAGTTCTAAGTGTTATTTTTTATCTTAAGACAAGACCTCATAAGTTATTAATATATTTCCAGGTCAGCTAGAAGAAATAAAGAAAGTCACATTATCCCGCCTCATATGTGACAATCGGGATGGTATAGAGCTGGTATCACAGCCTCCTCAAGCATTCCTTAGAGCTGATCTCCCGGGAAACGAACCTGTACCATGTGATAGTACCATAATACCTTCTATGGATTTGAGCACGTTCAGAGAAGATTAAACCTTAGTACTTAGTGATAAAATCTATAGTTAAATGTTATGTAAGTTGCTTGGAGTTTTTAAATGGTTTGGACTCTCATTTAATTTTATAAAAATGTGTATAATAGAAATTGGTGTGATTCTAATGAGATTCATATTGATCGCGGGTTACTCACGTGAATATACTGAGCAAAGCTCTACTAGTTTCGAACCACAGAGGTTGCTGAGCTGCGCGATGTCGCCGCGACCGCGCACGCTGTTCATGAGGAAGAACCCCTCTGTGGTTCGAAACTAGTAGAGCTTTTCTCAGTATATTCGCGTGAGTAACCCGCGATTTTAGTTAATTTAGCATGTCTCACGATAGTTTTTATAAAAAATTACAAAATTATTTTCATAATGAATAACAGTTACGAATATCCAGTTTGTGTGTGTGTAGGTTCTGGAAGTCACTATCTATTAGATAGAACTGGTAACGTAATTAAATGAACTATCTGCCAGTTACATTGATCAATAACTTATATGAAAGTATTGCAGTTACCCTCTTGAAGGCCACATATGTATATTAACAGCTTCATAATGCGCGTAGTAAATAAAAAGTACCTTATCAGTATTAAATCAGGGTCCACATTTAGTAAACATAGTTTCAGTCATCTGGTATATAGATATACCTAGCAGATATTAGAAGTTGTTTTTTTTATTTCCTTTTTTAAGTATGTTATCTATAATACCTAGATTTGGAACTTTGAATACTAGCTGGTCTTGTTAGATTATCAGTTTAGAGTATTTTTTCTATTATCATAAACGGAATGATAAATTACAGGTAGGTATTAATTTTGGGTTAAGTTGAATGAAATTTTCTTTATCTTTTCTCTTGTTTTTATTTATTTTTGTTTAAAATTCTCGTCTCTATAAATAGTTGTTTATCTCCCTTAATGAATTGATCTAAATTGTTTACATAGATTTAATTATGTCAGCACTAAAACTTCCTACAAAATTTTACAATTAATTGATTGTGTTACAAAAATGGCCGCTGATTTTTATCCTATATCATTATTAGATAAGCATGTTTATTCTATTTTAAATTAAAATAGAACATTTTGTAACAAATTCAACAATTTTGTAAATAGAACTTTGATTATGAGCTGATTTTTTGACAGATACGACATTTTTTGTGGCTTTTTTAAATTCTTCTTTTTTGTTTCTTTTTATCGTTCTAGATTTTCATTGGTGCCCGAACAGTGGAAATCTAGAGCTGGATACTCCACCAGGAATGTTGTATCTGTACTTAATGATACTTTAAGTGATTACGATTGAGGAAGTGGTCAGTGCAAAACATTAATGCCTTATGGTGCATTACGCCATAAAATTACGCCATAGTGCAGGTAAATTATTTCACTTCTTGCTGTCATTTCTCCTTTTTTTCTAGTATTCTTATGTCTTGTGTTCTAAATGGAGTTCAACTTAATGTGTTTAGGAAAGTACCTGATTGGGTGGTTTTTTACCGTAAAAAATCTATGAATCGGGGGCTTATTTTTAGGTGGGTTTGTGGTAATAGAAAAAAAATTAAAAATATAGTTTTTTTAAGCGATTTGTGTTGTTTGAGTATTATAAACTATTAGTGAATGTAATTAATTTTTCTTAAATAAGTTAGTGTTAATTATTTATTGGTAAGACAGTGGCACATTATATCAGGTAAATCTTTTATTTTTAAATAGGTTTTTATATATTTTTAATCAATAAGAAATATAAAAAAATTAAATGAGAGTTCAAACTTACAGAAACAAAGAAAAAATAACAAAATAGTCAGTATATCGCCACTAAATACACTATAAATTGTAACTTAAATGTTAATTTTTAATTTTATGAATGCAATTTTAATATTTTTTTTAACAACTGACTTTTTAAAATTCCAATATAAAGCGGTAAAGTAGTGGTGGCTATTCTATTCTGTAAAAATTGTATAGTGGAATGAAATTAAAAATTAATACCTACCTAATTATTTATTTTTAAGAATGGAATGTCTTAAATATGATTTTGTTATCTGTAATAAAATATTTACAATAAAATGTAAAGGTATTTATACAAAAAGTACAAAGAAATCACCAATTGATTTTGTAAATTCCAATTATTTTTGCATGTTTGATTTTTATTATTTTGCATTATTAATTCATTAAATTTTGTACAGTACCTATAATTTATGATTTTGGCAAAAATTATGTATAGCATAATATATTTTTTGGAATAATAATTTTTTTTCAGAGTAATCATAAAATAAATTTGCCTAGTTTTGGCTAAAATTGTTTTTTTTTTTAATAAACTGAAACGCAATTTATTTTGTGACACACTTTAAAGGGAGCTCCTGTACTAAATTCTGTGAATCTAATTTTTTAATAATAAACGATTAATAAATAGGTACCTACCTAATTACAGTTTTATTATAATCCTTGTACCTATCGACCGAATACTGAAAGGCAATTTTAACTTAAATATCGTGCCATCTCTGTAATTTTACATAGACTTTGTAGTGACAAGGTTAAATGGCGTAAAAATAATTAAGTATAGTTCATACTTAATTATTTTTACGCGATTTAAAACTTAGTGACGTTTGAGTATTTCGACATAAATCAGATGCATAACATAACATCACACCTTTGATCATCCCCGAAGGGATAGGCAGAGGTGGACATTATGCCACTGTACAATGTAACACCCACTTTTCACTATTTATGTTATGAGTCCCATGTAATGGGAGGTGAGCCTATTGCCATATACCGGGCACAATTCCAGACTCCGTGCTATAACTGAGAATTTTTTGAAAAATCCAGTAATACTTTTCTTAATCGAACCCGAGACCCCTTGCCGCCAGTCGCACTTGCGACCACTCAGCCAATGAAGCAATCATAAATCAGATACATATTGTATTAAAATGGAGGAAGCCAGAAGAAGATTATGAAGTAGTACCTATAAGTAGTTTGTTTTTATGTATGTATGAATGTGTGTACAATCTATGTATTCTGCCTATACCACACACCACGAGCTAAGGTCAAGCGTGTCACTGCAAGCTTAAGACATGTTTAGGTGTCACTCGAGCGCCTAAGTACAATCGCAAAGTACGGTAAACAAGCAACTCGCTGTCTCTGTTTCAATGATGATTTAATTTTGTACTTATAATTGCAGTTTCTTTTTATAATATGTTTCGATTATAGCGATGATTTGATTAAGAAAGTAGTTTATTATTTGCTTTAATCTTTTCGTTTGCAGACGTAAGATTTTTTTATATTTAAAAGAGTAGTGCCTAGCTAGTAGTGCCCAAAATAGTTCAAGGGAATAAGTTAATGTTTTAAAGCAAAATTAAACATTCTTCCCGTTTTCCAGTTTCTAACTAACTAACTTTATTTTACATGTACAAATTCTTGTATAAGTTTATTTATTTTATTTTTTATTACACAGAAAACTCAACAGCTTATTTAGTAAATGGTACATTTATAATAATGACAAGGCAAGGAAACTTTAAGCCAATAACAGAGTTTTTCAGTATGCGTTAGGTAAAAGCAGGAGAGTGAACAATACATATAAAATAAAATTAAAGAAACAACGAAAATTTATATACAGCGATAAGTAAGAAAAATAATAATACTATAAGAATCATACATGTGACTATAGTGAGTATTTGTACAAGCAAATTAGAAAGGATACCTTTGACAAATTAAATATATCCACACTTTCAAACTTTTCTGTGTAATTGTGAGGTAGTCGAGTCATAACAGCATTTTTCCCATAATTCGTACGATGTGAGGGTATACTAAGCAAGTGAGTATGTCTTGTTCGAGACCTGTGCGTGCAGAATTCAACGCATGACAAGAGATCACTGCTGTCTATCCCACCCCGCAGGATATCATACAGAAGGAGCATGTCCAACATCTTCCGTCTGTCATCAAATGGCAATAAGTGGTAATGTTTACAATCCGTCAGATAAGATGCGTGGCGTTTATGGCTTTTAATATTGAAAAAAATTATAAATCGTTTCTGAATATTAAGTTATCTACCTAAATTCTGAAAATATTATGTGTGACACATAATAAGTATTTTTACATTTTATTTTCATAGCTGAGGCTTTTTGTGACTTGTGGTAGGTGGGTAAGTCAGCTAGGACATCGGTGATTTGTGTGATTGTACTTTTAAGTACCTACAGTCTTGTGTGTAGCAGTGTTTGCGTTTTCACATCAATTAGAAGATTGGAACACGTGCAGTTTGTTTCTAATTGAATCGATGATCTTGCTCTTTTATTTCAGTATCTAGGCTATATGGGAATGTATCTCCAATCAGCTTGTCAAGCGTGGATAGAATGTAAGCCCTCTTATCTAGAGGAGGTCCATATTTTGGCTGTTGATTATGAATTAGGTTTATGCATTTAGCGGAATTAAAATATTTACTATAGCAATAATGTCGACCATATTGTGGAAAGATACCCAATTAAATGGACGCGAATTATTGGAGATTACACGAAGCACCCAAAGCCAACATAGTCTTGTTTAATTTTGAAGTTAACATAATATTATTTTCCATTTGCTAAGTTTTTGAAGTCTTATAATTAAAGGCTATAATATGGCTAAATCACAAAGCTAAGGGCAGTATGACAGATGCCTAAATGATCAGTTAAGATCACAATATGCTTCGTCTCTCTTCAGAATGCAATCAGGAAAACAGCGGTACTAAATTATTGGCGTTCGCAACGTAAAAAGTATAAGAGGCTTTTTGGAATTGAATAAAGGTGGTCACAGACCAGTTGTAAGGTTAGCAGCGCGTTTTTTTAAAGGTTGAATATGTATCTTATAGTTTTCGAAGATTCTATCATAAATTAATTACCAAACAAGAAATAACATAACATAACATCACGCCTTTTATCCTCGAAGGGGTAGGCAGAGGTGCACATTATACCACTGTACAATGTAACAACCACTTTTCACTATTTATGTTATGAGTCCCATGTAATAGGGGGTGAGCCTATTGTCATATACCGGT